CCCCAAGGGTCCATGTACTCATATGGTATGTACCTATATAGGGACTACTTTCAGGCCAAAGTACATACTGTTTGGGCACATGGACCCTTAGGGTAAGGGTAAGGTTTCAGTGCTTGTCAAGGCTGTCAGTTTGGATGCTGGCTTCTTACGTGTTGGGTTTGGGATTTCGCCTCGGGGCTCGTGGTTCAGGGTTTAGGGTTCAGGGTTTAGGGTTTAGGGTTTAGGGCCAAGCCTTCCAGAATGCCTTCTAAACGCATACAGAAGCTTTCCAGAATGTATCTCAAGCTTTACGGAGCCCTTTATGGCTTGGACAAATTTACCCCTAAACCGCGAACCTCTAAACCCCAAATCCTAAACCCAAAAAGCCCTAAACCCTAAACTCTAAACCCCACACCCCCCAATCCTAAACCCTAAACCCTAAACTCTAAACCCCACACCCCCAAGTCCTAAATGACGTCGTCACACTGACAATCGCTGGGGCACTGCATCTGGTTCTGCTGCTGACCCGACCTGAGTCTCCCCCAAGGCTGCACTTGAGGGTTTCCGAAAATAGGGGACCCTAATATAGTACCCTAAATAATAGGATCCCTATTATAAGGACCCCAAAAGAAGGTACCCCAATTTTGGGAAACCCCCACTTGGGTGCAAGGGGAGGGTTGGGGGTTTTTGGGCTTCGGGTTCTGGGCTCAGGGGCTTCGAAGTTTTTTTTTTATGGGTTTTTGATTGCTTAATGTCTAGGGTTTAGGCGTATGGGAGACCCAATGATGGGCACAGGGTTGTGTATGATCATGCAGGGTTCGAAACTCAGGGTTTCGGGCTTAGGATTTGGGCTTGCAGCGCATTTCCCGGCCCCTTTTCGGGTAGCTGGGGTGAGCAGGCGAGGAGGAGAGCAGCAGCTGCCGTTGGAGGAGGACGCGGCGAGGAGGCGAGAAGGTGAGGGGCAGGAGGAGGAGGAATGCTGCTGTTGCAGCCATGCGGCATGAGGAATCCTCCTCATGGATGGCTGTTCTTTGTGTTTGGCCATGTTTGGTTTGCTGTGCTTGGTTGCTGCAGTTGCGATGACGGCTGTTGACATTGCCGTAGCTTTGCTCGGCTCCTTGTGTCTTCGGCTGCCGTTTTCGCAGCCGTTCGGATCCTGGGATGCGGGCGCATTGTTCACCACGAATGCTTGCGGCATCATGGGCTGCATTGTCATGCCTCCACAGCCAGGGGGGTCATAGCTTCGAGGCTCTTCAGGACGAGGGGTGTTGCATGTGCGCACAAGATGTGTAGACTTGACGACTGACAGAGTGCACTTGATATCGTGGGAGGCAAAGGTCTTGACTACCCAAGAAACGATGCATGGGAAGGTTTAACAACTACTGTTGGCAAATCCTCTTTGTAGAACTACAGCGGAAGGCATACAACAAGCGTTATGATTGCCTGCAGCATCAGCACTCAAGCAAGGATGGAACACAGTCGAAGCGCCTGCATCATCACGTACACTCAGCATTCGACGTCTTGCTTGTTTTACATGCCTTATCAGTGTTACTAGTATCAACGTGGGATAGGGCGGCTACGCTTCCTGCATGAAAGACACCGCACCCCAAATTTCGGGCGCCTGCCTTGGCCCACCATCTGGGGGCCTCCCTGTTGCTCCTGCCCAGTGACAGGATTAATGCAGGATTGTTCAGTCTTCGCTGAGTTCCTAGCTTACTTCTGTTCCCTAGCGAATTACGAGCGCTAAATTACTGATACTGGCGTTTTGCCATTCCAGCTTCAAGAACCGGTCATTGCCATGTGTTGGTGCTAATCTCAAGCGTTCTGCGCCTAGTCTTGCTTGTGGTGGCACGGAACAAGGAACATCCTAGTACTAGGCTAGTGTTCCTAGCAGTAGCAGTGGTAGTCGTCGTCGCTGCCGCCGTCGCCGCCGTCGTACTACCAGCATCGCCACAGTGGCGAGCAGCCATGTTCCTATCATTGTTACGGAAGTCGTTGCTGTCGCCGTTTTCGAACGGGATCAGCATCAGAGATCTTGTCCAGCGTGTTTTCAAGTTCTGGGCCTGGTTTTGATTGTGGCCGTGTGGCCGTGTGATCTATAGACCAAGATGTGGCGAGTATCTCGCCTGCTCATCAGTATTCTTGCTGTTTCAAGCACTACCAGCAACACATAAGGATGACGGGAACGGAGCTCTTCTCAGAGACTGCACAGACGAATCGGCAGGCTTGGAAGCTACGATTCTGTAGGGGTTTCCGCTCGCGCGATGGAAGTGCACGGTCTAAGCTGGGCCTGCCGTCTTAAGTCACGGTAGTTCCCAAACCCAAAGATTGCTGCGGCCTAAGTCCATAGTTTCATGGCTGCGCTCGAGGTCCCAGGGCTCTGTTCGAGGCTTTGGGTCTGGGGCATGGCACTAGCCGCACAAACATGGCGAGGCTTGATACAAAATACACAGCCACAACACACTTCATGCCAACCTCTACACATGGAGCCCGGGACGGAACAAACATGGACTGAGCAAACAGAAGTAGGTCACACAATGATATCTATATGTGCCACATTTCCTTTTGCAACACCAGCCGCGAACACAGGAGGAAGATGCGAGATGTCAGCAGCCGGCGGCCGGTCACGGTCTCCGTGGTGTCAGTAAGACAGGCGTCGCGATGATCATTGCTTCTGCGTGCACTGTTTCCATCACGTTCCCCGGTTACAAAACAGGGCTTATGCTAGCCTGGAAAGATTGAGTGCGCCGAGCATCAGCAATGAGCTTGTTGCCTTCCAAAACCATGGGAACCATTGTAATGTGGGAAAAGCCAGCTGTAGAGGCCTTTCCATGGCAGCACTATCCAAATCTCAACAGATTATCCGTTGAGGCAGCAAGAGAATCAGGCACAATTGGTGCTGGCAACTGCGTCGTGCGAATACAGGCATGATGTGGAATGAGAAGTTAGGTGCAAACATCCATGTCAATGTCTACACTTTTACGATACAAGCATGACAAGGAACAGAGTGCCACCCATGTAGTGCAATGATGGCTGATGCTGCTTTGGGAATAAACTCAATGGCAGTGTGGCTGTGGCAGTTTGAATGCCTGACTGCGTGTGACCTCGACCGGATTTGGCCAAAGGGCAGACGCTGCACGTCACATCATGGTCCAGTGTGTCTAAACCAACCTTCCACATTTAGTTACCCAGTATTTTCTCTGCGAACAAGGTCTGGCTACGGGAGATTTACTGCCACAGCTCAATTCTACTTAGATTCAAAATTAGATCCCATTCGGAGTCCGAGGCTGTACAATCTAAAGTCGGTAGTCGAACTCTTCTTATTCTGCTCGACTGAGCGGTCCCATGTAGTCATGGGGCGTCCTTCCACGGCTATCCCGCAACGAGGGGTCGGCATCGAAGAAGAGGAGCAAGCGAACCATGTGCCAATCTCTCTCTTTTGCGGCCAGATGGAGCGGATAAGTTCGGCACAGCCCCCAACAGGACTTCTTTGCCACATTGACGTCGAAGCTGTCGCTGCGAATGTCATGGTTTTGCAGAAACTTGTCCACCTGATTCTTGGCCTTCTGGAGGTTTGACAGCTGCAAGTCGGTTTGTTGATACCTTTTGCTCCTTTCTTGCTCTTTCTTCCCTTGCCACCCGGCCAGTCGCTCCGCGCTGCATTGAACTGTTTCGTCTTCTTCCAGCAGCTTGCAGCGCCCACCACGTTGATAGAAAACGTGATTGGACAAGGGCATGAGGAGAGCTATGACTGAGGGAACCAGACAGCTTCGCAGAAAGCTTCGGGTTTGGGTTCGACTCTAGCAACAGGCGGGCCCTAATCCCTAAACACCCTATACCCAAATCCTTCATAGCACGCTGCAGGGTTTGGGGGTTCAGGGTCTAGGATCTATAAGAGCTTATTCGGGTTCTTCAGTGGCGACCAAGCCGACTTTTCCGAAAAGCCGGTGTCCTGATTCGGGGCCGCGTTCTGTTGCGGCACCTGTTCAGGTGATGGGCGGGAAAAGATCCACAACTTCATTCTGGGCATCTAGATCGTGCACGGTAGACGAGCCACGCTATCTTGAACAGTACGAGGAATCGAAGTGCCGGCTACTAGGAATAGTTCAGGCTACTGAGAAGAATTCAGGTACCTATGCGAACATCTGTTGCTCAACTGGCACCATCTCTTCCGCGAACGTTCTATGGTTTCTCGGGGCGTTAGGGCACTCGCAGAAAGTCTGAGCCAATCGAGACATCTTCTCGACTGACTTCAACAAGAAGGGAATGGTCCAACCCGCCTGCTGCTGCTGCACCTGCCGGGCCCATGCCATTCGTTCGCAAACTCTACTCATCACGTCTGATGACTTTGACATGCATGAACAAGCACATGATGCTGATGCTGATAGAGATGTGGAAGAAGGGTATGACGATAGCAAGTGGGTGACGTGATGATCGCACACGAAGCATCGGCACCTGCTGCCCAGTTTGTTGGGGCTGCTGCTGCTGTCCTGCAAGGCATTGTGAGATGGTTTTTGAACTCCTCCTTGGGTGCCGTTTCGGGGTTGTTACTGGAGTAAGCCCAGGATGTTGACGGCTCCCGCCTCAACCCGGCTATGCCCCCTGGCAGCAGAAGCGAACATCTTCAGATACAGACCAAACTCAGGAAACACGGGTTTAGGGTTTAAGGGCTTCCGGGGCTTCAGGTCCCAAGCCAGAGGCAATGAACCCCAAACCTTTTCGTGTCGATGGACACCACTTGGAGGCTCATGGTTAGTAATAAAGAGGTTATAAGTAGGATCACTCTTGCTGTGATCCATGTTACAGGACTTCTCAACTCCCCATGAACCTCCAAGCAGTGCCATGCCCGACGGTGTTCGGAGGCTTCGGCGTCGAGGGGCTGAGCAAAGGATTTTGACCAAAGGATTTTGACATTAACACTCTACACCTCGAGCAGTTCAGGCTTCGGGGCGAAACCCTACGTGGCAAAGTCTTGTGAAGTCTAAACATGCGCCGGAACGTTCTCTCACACGGCTGAGTTTTGATGCAAGTGTTCACCTCTCCTCCTCCCCCATAAGTCGAGGCTGGAAGAGGCTTCTTCGAAGCTTGTGTCTAGACGCCCTGTCGATTAAACCCTAAACCCTAAACCGCCAGAATTAGATGGCTTTCGGGGGCAAGTGGTAAAGCCCGGTTGAACCAAGGCCCCAAATCCCAAAAGACAAGACATGAGGGATCTTCAAGGGTTTAGGGTTTAGGGTATCGGGTTTAGGGTTTAGGGTTTAGGGCTTAGGAAACCCTAAAGCCGAAACCGGATCTGAAGCGTTTAGGGTACGAATGTCCGCAGGTCCTTGGTTCTGCTGCTGCCAGCCGCCCTCGGGGGCAGTTGCTCTCTGAGTTATTTGGGCGGAGTCTGGAGAAACTGTTCGGGCTGAGCGAGGGATGCACGGTTTGGGGCGATCGGGTGCGTGCTTGAAGGCTGCGGTAGAGGGCAGGAATCTTCATCTGGGTGGATGAAAACTGACTTAGCATGCATCCAGGACGCAGCCCGAAACTCCGCAAACTCCAGCCAATTCAAGCCCATAAAACCCAGGTCACTACAGCATAGCAACAAAACGGAAATGTCCCAAAACCCCGAATGAAACTATTTCGAGGCCCTTTCCCTATAGTCCGCTAAAGCTCGGCTTGAATGCGTTCCCTTCTACGCTTTCAGGGTTCAAGTTCAGGGTTCAGGGCCAAGGGTTTGATGGGTTTGCGGTTTAGGGGTTTAGGGTTTAGGGTTTAGGGTTTAGGGTTTAGGGTTTAGGGTTTGGGGTAGCTGATGGATTTGGTGTTGCCAGGGGGTGTGGCCTCGAACTTCTTTGCTGCAATCTCTACACCATATCCCTCTACCCCAAGAGACCTGAAACCAAAGGCCCTAAACTCTAAACCCTAAACCCAAAAATCCTAAACTCCTAAACTCCTAAACCCCTAAACCCCTAAACCCTAAACCCTAAACCCGAAACCCCGAAACCCAAGACCCGAAACCCTAAACCCCAAAACACTAAACCCGAAATCCTATAAACTCCCAAACCCTAAACTCCAGACCCTGCGACGCTCAACCCTAAATCCTAAACCCTTAAACCCTAATCCCCGAAACCCAAAACCCTGAACCCTAAACCCTAAACTCCCAAACCTTAAACTCCTGGGCTCCGCACACCCTGCATCTGTTGCATGTGCTGGGCGGCCCCCAAGTTCGCGGCACCTCGACTCGAGTCGCAGGCTTCAGGGGGTTGGGGGTAATTTTTGGGGGGCCTTAGTGGTTAGAATAGGGTTTAGGGTTTAGGGTTTAGGGTTTAGGGTTTAGGGTTTAGCGTGGGGGCGTTAGTAGTTAGAATAGGTCTTAGGTTTTAGGGTTTAGGGTTTGAGTGTAATGGTGGGGACCTTAATAGTTAGAATAGGTTTTTTTTTGTTGGGGGGGGCTCTTATTATAACTATAGCATAACATATCCGAAAACCCTATTCTACTTACTCAGGCCCCTATATTAATGGTGGGGTGTTTTCGGTCTCCTTGGGCTTAGGGTTTATGGTTTCTCATGGGCTGTGGTTCGGGATCTTATATAAGTTAGGTTTTGAGTTGGGTGCAGGGCTTTGAAGTGCAAGGGCAAGGGACAAGGTCTTGAGCACATATGTCCCCCAGGCCCCTTCAGAAAGGCACCACGCTCTGGGTATCTCTGCCGTTCAAGATGGAAGGGACTCTTTGCAGAGGCATCTACGTGGTCGTCAATGCAGTCAACAGAAGCATCATCATCGCACCATCATTCGCAGCAAAAGACTACATCATGATCCTTCTTTGCTATCACTTACTGTTTTGGCCGTTCACTGTGCGGATGTAATTTTTGATCTGCTTCCAACTCCGGTGTGGGATGCTGCGCAGGTCCGCTGTGTTGCTTCTCCTTCTTTTGCAGTTCCACATGTAGCGAATAGCTTTAGTTTGAGTCTCAGTGCAGAGGACTCTGCGGAGGTGGGAGCGTCAAGCTGAGCAAACAACTGGCGAGTGGAGCTCCGGGTTATATTGCAGACCCTCAAGCCCCACCATGCGCAAACACTAACTTAGCTCAAGACCCCGTGAACCTGCATGCGGGGGTGTCTTTTTCAATGGTTCCTTACTTTGTATGGAATCCTCCATAAAGACAGCATGGGGAATTGAAAGCCCAATCGCGAAGAAGGCGAAGAGCCGAATAGATCTGGGGCGGACGCCTACCCTGGCACTGGCCTGCGGATTGGGCTGGCCAAGCACCTGGCTTCGGGCTTTCGACAACTGTCGCGATGATCAGCGGTGGGTCGTCGCGGCAACAGCGACGACGAGCACGACCGACCCACTAGACCAGAACCAAGACGACCACGACGTGTTGTTGCTCCTGTGATTGTTCGCGGTGGCATTGGTAGCATCCTGCAAGTTCGGGTCTTCTGCTGCGAGCGGAGGACGACTGGAGAGAAGCAGCAGGCTTATATGCAAGAGCACTCTAATTCGCTGACAGCACCAGGACGGCTCAGAACCATGGAACCCAAAAAATGCAATCATAGCTGTCCGGATGTACCCCGATCCATCTAAATCTAGATCAGTCAGTTGCTGCTGCTCTGTGCATGGCAGTAGCCGATAGTGACTGCGGCATTCGTGCGACGGGCAAACAACAGAAACATAACAGCAGTGCTTCTGTTTGAGGGAACTCTACGAAATCAGGTGACAGCTGCCACTCCCGCCGTACAGGCTCACAGAAACTGGGAAAGGCGAAGCTTCCCTGGTGCATCGCACCGATCAAGACGGAACGCAAGCGCCCTTGATCCGGATACCCTCAACTGAGACCCAGGACTACCAGCAGTTGTCTTATTCAGTCGGGGGATGACAGCACAAGCCTCCGGATGCCCCAGACATAAGAGGGGATCCCGGCGCCCCTGACGGCCTACACTCTGAAGTCTGCACTCATAGACCATCCTTGAACCGCAAATGTCGATCTCCAGGCGCAGGGTTGGATGTTGAGGTTTGGAGGCCATGGCCGGTGAAGATTGGTTTAGGGTTTAGGGTTTAGGGTTTAGGGTTTAGGGTTTAGGGTTATGGATTTTGGGGCCTGTCAGTCCAGGGCTTGATCCCCGTAACCTCTCATCCAGCAGCCCTCAGACGTTTTAGCCTTAGCCCTGAAACCGCAGCTTCCTCGACCCTAAACCCTAAACCCTAAACCCTAAACCCTAAACCCTAAAATCGAAAGCAAAAGGCGTCAGGTGTACATCCTTGTAGCTCGGTCCTTTCGCATCGGGCCAGTCCGGCGCGGCACTGGCGGAAGGTGGCTCTCTGTTTTGGGGTCCTTATAACAAGGATCCTACCATTCAGGGTACTATATTAGGGTTTAGGGTTTAGGGTTTAGGGTTTGGGGTCCTTAAAGTAAGGATCCTACCATTCAAGGTACTATAATAGGGTCCCTAATGTGGGGTGTAGGAGCTGTAGAGCTGTAGAGGCCACTGCGACGGGGTGGAAGTCCTTTTTGCATCTCTGGCCCTGGCTCTGATTTCGCACCCTAAACCCTAAAGCCCTAAACCCTAAATCCTAAAGCCCTAAATCCTAAACCCTAAACGCTAAACCCTAAACCCTAAACCCTCAAGGCTGGGGGTTCCCATAGACTGCTGGATCCTGAAACCTTGAGCGTCCTTCGCAACACACACGCACCCCAACAAGAGAGGGAGGGGAGACTTTTCCTGGGCTGAAGCATCAAGCCTAGGGTCTCTACGGATTACACAGGGTAGTTCGAAGGCTCCTCGCCAACACCCACACGAATCAAAAGAACGGAACTCCCCAAACTCCGAAAAGCCCCGCAATTCTCAAGCACCCCAAACCCTAAACCCCCCAGAAAGCCCCGAAACCGAGCCAGACTCGCACCAACGGCTCTTGCAGTCCTTAGCTCCAAAACGCGACCCTCAAAGCCCAAAACCCGAAACTCTGAACCCCCAAACACCAAGAATCCTGTGCCCTAAACCCTAAACCCTAAACCCTAAACCCAAGAAAAAAGCTGCAAAATTCAACACATCGTGAGCTCTCCCCAACAGAAGGCCCTAGGCCCAGACTTCTAAGAATCCTAAACCCTCCCTAAACCCTAAACCCTAAACCCCTAAAAACCCTAATAAACCCCTAAACCCCTAAAAACCCTCCCTAAAAACCCTAATCAGCCCCTTAAAACCCTAAAACCACTAAAAAAACCGCTAAAAACCCTAATAAGCCCCTTAAAACCCTAAAAACCCTGAAACCTCCCCAGGGCCTTTCTGGGGAGCTGTGCTTCGCCCTTTGGAAGAACATCTCCAGGATGTCGCCGAGGCCTTTCAGTTGCCTCGGAGTCAGGGTTTAGGGTTTAGGG